AAATTATTTTTTATTATTTAGACTCATACTAAACTTTTTCTAATTTAGCACATTACTCCAAGACTCACTTCAGACTCACTTAACCTCCTAAAAAATATTAACACTCATTATTAAATATCAATAACTATTTTGAGTTGATGAGTTGACAGCTCATCATTGGCCAACAAAAAAAAAAATCAGAATTCTTTTTCAATTTGTAGAGTTGTAAGATGAGTTTTAGATTTCAAAACTCATCTCAAGACTACATATGATCTTGCACCACATTATTGCAAAAAAAAAAAAAAAAAAAACAAGTCTTGTATGTGAGTCTTGAAAATAAACTTACCCTAAGCTAGACTTATGATAATAAATTCAAGAGATAGGACAAATTATGCGTGCTTCATGATCAATGCCTCAACAGGAACAGCCAAATTGAGAGGTGATTTAATGTTTGTTCATGAAAGAAACAAAGATATATTGTAATGGATAAGTCATGGAGAGAAATTGACATATTTCTTGTGAAATTTAATCCATCCTAAATTCTTAATTATTTATGTGGATTTATGGGATTGGGAGTCGAACTCGATTCACCGAGAGACAAATTATTAGACTTTTTTTTTTATTTTTTATTTTTTTTTATCAATTTTATTCATTTAAATCACCACCTCTTACGCGTTAAGTCAATGCAACTCCGTAAGTTAATGCTAGAAAGCAGAAAAGGAGGTAAATGAATCTCATTACTTCCAAACAAATATAGTTGGTGAGACTCGAATGAATTCGTGAACTCAAAATTACAAGATCAGATGAGGTTTCCACCAAGGTAAAATTAATCGTAGAATTTAAAACCTAAATTATTATAGGGTGGCTCATCTCTTGATTAAGGATTCTTTAATACGAAGGAAGAAATAGTTTGAAGTACTTATGAGTAATTTATTAGGTTTTGCGATGGATGAAGCAACGGTCCAATACCAACTCACTAATGTCATTAATTCTTTCTTGAGATTTTTCTTTGAAAAAAATTGATTGTTATACAAATATCTGATTACTATACCAAAGTAAAGAAAAATTGTAGTATAAGCACCTGTCTTTAAATCAACTTTATGTATATAGACAATATAGTGAATGACTGAATGTAGTGATGGTGTGTGGGGTGTCCCTTTTATGATGGCTAAAAAATGCACATCATACTTTATTGATTTGAATGAATTCTTTAACCATTTTTTATCAGTTGATTCGGACAACTAAATTACTTGTTTCTTGATTTGCTACAACACATTGCTAAAGTTGTTTATAGTCTTTATACCTTAAGCACTTCATATCTCATTAATTAATTTATTATTTTCAAAATGTTATACATAGGCCTTAGGGCTATATATAAGTATTAAAAATACTTTTGAAAAATGTATAAAATTAGGAATTCATGACAAAAACACGAGTAGATCAGTGTAATTAGTGTGTTTTTGTCATGATTTTCTAAATTTAAACAATTTTAAAGAGTGTTTTTAATGCTTATATGTAGCCCTAAGGGCTATGTATAACATTTTCCTTTATATTATTATTGAATCACATTATTAAATTTTTATCTCAAATACGATTCCACTTTAATTTAATTAAATGTCTCAACTTATTTTTATCGTAAAATATTGTAAATATTTGTTTTTGGTTTACTCGCTCTAGTTAAATGTAAATACTCCCTCCGTTTTTAAATACTTGTCCCATTTATCTTGAACATGTATGCCGATGTTAATCTTTGATCAATAATATCTTCAATTATCAATAAGTATAAATTCTAACAATTGAAAATTAATAATTTATTTATTGAGAAGATTTCAACAAATACCCATAAGACTCTTCTCAATATGAAGAATTGAGTGTTTTCCTTATTAGTTGGTTCACCTAAAAAACAATTTAGATAAAGGAACAACTATCCTCAATTTGCGATAAATTATTGATTTAGTCGTAAACGCCTTCATTCTCAAAAAGACAGAGTTGAAATTCTGCCTTCTAAATTACAAGTTGCAGATTATGAAGTCAATTAAGATTTAAGAACATGACTTGTAAATATCAACTACGTTGACTTTTAGCATTTTTCACATATAATTTGACAATTTATTTATGATTTATACTCAAATTTATACAATTTTTACATTCTGTAATTAAGATATTAAATTGAATATTTTTTCATTTTGATTTTTAAGCTATTTAATCCCACGATTTCAAGAAAACCAAAATTATACCTACGAGTACACAAGAACAAAAATATTTAGACAATAATATTTCATAATCTTAAACAAGGAGTTACACTAATTCACAAAACCAAAAAAAAAAAAAAAAAACAAAAAAACAAAAAAAAAAAAAAAATAGAAAGATGATCCATCACCACCAAAATTTTATGAGTTACATAGTTATATACTCCATTTATATATGTACAATAATACTCATCCAACCTCAACCCACATAGTCAACAAAAAAAACAACCCTAAAACTTCCAAGATGATGCCCAAAAAAATAAATCATAACATTCATACCACTACTTCCCTCTATATTCAACTTTTACTTTACTAGTTCAAATTACACAACCATACAGACAACTGTCGTGTTCTAAACATCGGAAATAAAACACCCCGACGACAAGCCCGACACTCGTACGTATTAAACATATGATCCTCTTTTAATGCATGGAAATGGAATGAAGTTGAAGAAGTTGTTGAGCATGAGAAAGTTGATCCATCAAAGCTAACAGTCGAGCTTGAAAATCACGCGCTTGATCGACAGATTCAGCTTCAAGATCTCCTAACTGAGAACAAAGCATTTCTTCTCCATCTTCAGCCACTTTAACCTTTTCTAATGCTCTATACAATTCTTCCTTTGTCTTTTTTTCTCTTAGTAAACTTTCTCTTAATTTTCTCTCTAATTCTTCGTTACGCTTCATAAGATCATAGTTTTCTTCGAAATTACTTGCCATAATATTTGTTGTATTAATTAACTTAGCTTGCTAAGATTATATGTTAACAAGTAGGTTAATTTTTGGTAGGAGAAAAATATGCAAAATTTGGTTGAAATTTGGATAGAGGTAAAAGGTGCAATTGAGTGTACAATTTTTTGGCACAAGAAAATAATATAAGGGGTTATTCTCTATTTATAGAAGAGATTTTTGTATGTCTAGGTTCAATGTATCTAACAAATTTTTGTGAGAAATTGTTGACGTAGTTGCTTACCCTTTTTGTCAACTATTTTGCTTTGCAATTTTTCTAAGGTCATATTAAGTTTTATTTGGCCTCAAATGTCAAATTGTTGAAATTTAAATATTGAATTGAAATGTAATGTTCGAGAAACGTATATAAAAGACAATGTTTGAGGATGATTATTTTTCACTTATATTCAATAAAAAAAATATTTAAAAAAAGGCCGTATATTTTTGTGGTTGGGGGAGTACGGGTAGTATTTTATTCAATAGAATGTACTCCATAATATGCAAATTAAATATACTTACAAAATCTTTCTTTTACGTTATTCTAATTGTTCCGTCGGTTTCTTTTTAGGTGGTGCACCAATCTGATATTTTTAGGTTTGATATTATAGACAACTTAATTTATTACGGAGTATTGGTGATTGATATTTTAAAAATATACGTTTATAAAAATACACATTGTGCAAGTTGGACGTCCTTCATAGTCCTTTTATTGATTGCTTGCAAGTAACCACGTGAATTTTGTCCATTTGTCTCCATCAAATACTAAATTACTAAGCAATTAAAACAAAACACATGAATGAATAATGGTAATATTCGTAAACTATTGAATTCTAATCTTCAGATTTACTTTTTACAATTAAAATCTGCACCATATTATAAGAACACAATAAAATTCTACTATTAGTTTCATTATAGCTCAATTTAGTAATTCTGGACGACTAGACTCAATAAAAAAAAATTCATATATTACGTATATTTACTTACGCTTGTCACTTGATTATTCAGTAAAAAATAATTCCATTGAATAAAATTTACACAACATTTCATTATTCCTTAGAAATTAACAAACCCAATATTTTATTGTGAGATAGTCTTAGACACAACCATAAAGTGTGTCTAATGAAGTAATGAGAGTCCACTCGTGCCTCTAGCGGTCTAGCCTAGCAGTGAGGGAAACCAATGGCTCCAACCCTCCCTCCCTATTATGGAGAGACCCTAATCTTTTGAGCTTCTGGACAAGTAGAGCAGGGCTCGACAGAGCGGGACAAATTTCAATAGAGCAGAATAGCTTAAAAAAGCAAGGCCACTATCACCAGAAAAGAGTCTAATCTATCTATACCTTTTGTATAATTTCTTTTTCATCTTACAATACTTTATTTGACATTAGCTTTTCAGCCCTTCACGCCTCATCTTAATGGCAGTGAATGATGAGGCCGCCCCACTTACTCAACATGAGAAACAAAATTTGTTTCTCAAAAGGTTAAATTTGTAAAATTACAGGCAAAACCGCTATTTGACAGTAAAAAAAAGTGCTTTTATTTACATCTTTTCCATTTGAGAAACATAGTTTGTTTTGTTTCTCATGTTGAGAAACTTGGAATTTCTCGTGAATGATGCACGTTTATACGGGATATCCACAAGTGAAAAGATCGAATGATGATCTAAAACAGTCCTTTTGCCAATATTATACATACAAATATTATTATTTTTGTTTAGTATTATTATTACGGAGTAGTATTTTTATTTTTGCTTATTGAGTTGATATTACGGAGTATTATAATAGTTTACATAATATTTTTGTTGAGTTGTTATTAAATTATGAAAAATGAATAATACTACATATTCCGTACTTGAGACTTTAATAGAGATGCAGTTGTTTCGATGACAAAAACCAATGGAGTACCCTGTATAGTACGAGTAGATAGTTACATTTTAAAGGTATTCTCACGTTACATGTAATGCTAGTTGCCTAAAATGTTGGGCAACAACTCTACTATGGTAAATAGTGAGCATAATATCTTACTAATCTATGCTATTGCATTCCCAATAAAATCATAACTTTCCCCAAGCAAAATATCTTACTGAAAAAGTATATATATCAGCGTTGAACATATGATAACAAGAAATTTAGCAAAAAGTCAGCCAAATAGGTTTAGATACATTATGCAAATACACCTGATTTGTAAGTAACTAAACTCAACAATGATGAAGTCACAATTAAGTTTCCAACTATGTACATGTAACGTTAGATTTTCCAACATCTTCATTCTTGTTAAATTTCTATTGCAGTGTATATGATCAATAACCGTATACGTATCAAAGATGTTGATGATGATAAATCTATAGTTTCCTCCCTTTAATATCCTAGGGCGGAGCCTGAAGGTCTTCTCTATTAATCACTCGGTTTCCACTCTTAGAGAGGAGCAAATCTTTCATTTCCCTGTAACTTTTAAGCTCTTCAAGGGCATCACGTGCCATGAAAAATCCAGAAGCAGTTCCAAAGCTGCCCCCTTGTTGGGTGCTCTGAGAGCTGGCTGAATAACTACTTGAATCTTGACGTAGTGGTGGGGCTGTCCTAAGCATGTGAACAAGAGCACCCACCGCAGCATCTTGTGACTTACGACCAAATGACAATGCAGAATTGAATTCCGATCCTTTCTTCGGTTCAACACTCTGACTGCAGCAACAGACATAAGAAGCATAAGGTTTCAGGAATTTAAGAATATAAATACTGAAACAAATTTAGGTTGCTATTACAAAAAACAAGCATATAATGTCATCCTGAAGCCATTGCTGTACATGTTACAGGCTAAAATGGACTTTTCTTTTGAGAAAATTCATGCAGTATCACACAAAAAAGATTTTAAACCTCAAGGTAAACCAACTTCCAACACTTGTACTTTCTTCAATGATCTTAATACAAACTCTACCATGATGCATCAAATATGGTATTCCACAAGACTAATAGGGGGTTTTACTCGAGAGTGAGAACATTATAATATAGCTATGAGATATGATATATGTAAGAATAAGAAACAAATAGCAACACAAATCCAGCCAAATTGTTAGAATCCAGCCTTCACGTCCATGTATATCCTTTATTTAATGATTCCTAGGACTTTTCTTAAGGCTTTGGAGGCTTAAGATCCATAACGATGATACTTTCAATATAGTGTTCAGTGGGAGAGTATTCAATGTCCCTACAGCTTGCTTGTGTCACTATGTGCACACAAGCCCCTTTTCCGAACAAGGTTGACACCCTTGCCGATAGATAGGCAAGAGTGCGCCACAATGCTAGTGCTAAAACACTCGGATTGTGATACACAAGCTCTCCTCTTTAGAAACAATTACCTTATTTAATGTTTTGGTACTTGCAATATCAAGTCTAGTTAGGGGATGTGGTTCATGCATACAATCACTTATCCCTATGGCTTTCCTCAAATTTATTAATAAGGATTAAATTGTTTAAACGCTCTACAAGGGGCTAGGAAGACTCAGGTGATTGTGTTTTGATAAGGGAACTTAACTATGTTCTGATGAGGTGTTCAATAACTATAGTAAGATAGAAAAGATGAAAACCTTGTAGAGTTGTAGTGGTATCACGGGGTCAATTTTCTATAACATAAAGCAAAATATGATTTTCACTTTTTACATTCATACCCATAAGCAGACAATGTGAGCAACACACTCATATGAATTGAATAATATAACATCCAGTGACGGCAATGATGACTACAACTCAAGTGTAATACTATAGAGGTACAGTTTCAAATAGTGTAAAATGAAACAACAATACAAAAAGATTCATGCAATACTTCAATTAGAATGCAAGTAAAAAAGGGAAGTACCTAGCTTGGGAATCTGATGTATAGACATCATCAACATCAAATGGTAATGAAAAGTCATATACACCCAATTCATCCTGGAAAGATCTACTTGAGCTTCTTGAATATGCCTTACGTGGAGAGCTGCTAGAGGAATGCAATCCAGAGAACCGCCCAGATTCATCTTTGCTATCTCTAGTCAACTGAAAACAAATGCAGTCGATGTCAAAAGACATTTAAAAACTACCCATCAAAATTTTGTAAAACTTGAAAATCCTTGTTTCCAGCAAAAATCTGAAAGAGTACCTTTGATCCAAAAGAGAAATTCCCAGTCCCAGAATACAGCTCTCCAGGCTGTAATGCATCAAATTTTTTGGACAACCTGTTTCCTGATGGAGATAAAGACCCATGAGGTGAAGGTTCCGGTTTTGTACTCCTTGGAGAGAAAGGAGGGAGGTTCATTCTACTTGGATCAGACAAATTAGGAGAAAGGTATGCAGGACTTCTGTTTAGCATAGGATGCGGAATAGTTACAGGTGCTGACTCCGGCCTTAGACGGGACTGGGTAGGACTATATCTAAAGAGGTATGCTGGGGGAGATGAAGATGAGGAGAATGGAGGTGAAAGAGATTCATCATAACTGTTAGTTTTGTGGTGTCCTCCAAGCATCCTATAATTCTGCACTCTTTGGCCTTGCATATATGTTGGCAAAGATGGATCATCGTTTGAGAATCGGTGTGCAGGTGGAGATCCACTAAGGGGGTAATTTTTTATGTGAACAGCATTTGAATGGATGCCGCTAGACCAACTATGAGGACGTTGACTTGGCATTGGACATGCATTTCTAGCTCCCTTTAAAGAGAATGAGATAGGATGAGAAACTTTCTCTACGGATGGAAAGGCCCTCATGGGATCAATGGCAGGACTACCAACATAATCAGAAATAATTACAGGCGGAAATGATGTCGAAGTTTCAAGACTAAATTCTGACAAATCTGATCTATAATTTACAGAAACACTGAGCCTACCATTTACAGCCTCCACTGGGTTGAAACTATATTGCTTCATCATTTGCTCCTCTTCCCTAGAGAAGGGGTCGCTGAAAGATGATACCTTATATATAACATCAACATCAGAAGGTTGGCTCGAGGAACTAAGGTTCCTAAATATCCTATAAGCAGGCAAATGCCTCATCATTGAGCAGAGAGAGCGGAAAAGTATGATTGATTTCTGGTACATTTTCTTATACAATGATGTAACATCTCTAGTCTGAACAGGCATTGTCTTATGATTTTCATACTGAACTACCCATCTCTCAATAACTGTCTCGACTGCTCCCTCTTCAAATACCTGTTCATAGTTATAACCATTACCAGATGAACCATCCAGTCCTCGACGAATAACAATTACATCAATTACCATTGGATCCATCAGATTCCTATGCCAAGACTGCAACTTTTCCAGAGCTGCAGGGCGGTCCCCTAACGCTAAATTGAACCATTTATCAGTCTTTTTTGGCTTCGAATTAGACAACAAGTCTCCACTATGATCTTGGGTTTTAAGCGACGGAATCCTAGATTCTAGAATTACTTGCAAGGCCTTCAGAAGAAACTGGGAGATAATCTGCTCCAATCTTCCATGCTCCGATGAAGAACTCACTTGGAAATCCATAATTTTCAGAATCTGCAAGGGTTATATTGGGTGTAACACAATGCAATATACCGGCCTTCAGCTCAATTAGCTCAACCGCGATAACAAAGCACCAAAGACTGTAACCTAAGCAATCGAATCCCACAATACGAATCCAGAGAATTTCGAGATTCTGATCATCAAGCTGAGACCAAAATGCAATTAGAACCCCAGATTTCCCACGAAAGCGAGGACCAAAACACATCCGAAATCAAATTTTTCGCCCCGAAAAGCAATTGGGCATTACTAAATCACCCCAAGGAACAACTTTACCAGCAGTATTAGCATCAAATAGCAAAATCAATTGCCACCCAAAAAACCCCAGAATAATTAGTGAACTTGATTAAGAAATTTCATGAAAATTTTGAGAAGGGCATGAACAATCTTCAGCAGAAATCACATAACAAGTTGACTAAATGCATCAATAACCCTGATCAACCATAAATCAACAGGCAAAAAATAATAATTATGAATTCCAAATTAACAACGACATGGGCAAGCTCAGTTTCAAGTCAATCGAATTCAACAACATAAAATCAACTAAAAAACAACAACAAATTAACAACGGATTAAGAAAGAACTTACTTGAATTTTGGGGGAATTAGTCAGAAAGAAGACGTGAATTAATAGAAATGATTGCGTGAAGCGTGTAATTTAAAAAAAGGGAAATTAATAATTTTTCGAGAATCTAAAAATGGGAAGTGGAATTCTGGGAAATCAAGAAAATGGGTTGTTGGCAAATTGCACAAGTATGTAGAGATGAGTGGAAGTCATAGAAGAAGAGTTTGATCTATGAAATGAGGTTTGAGAATATAAGGAAGGAGAGAGTAAACGATGTATGATTGGAGGGATTGGAGGGATTGGATTGGAAGCGATTATTTTTGACGTAATAATAATAGTGTTTGAAAACCACAGTAGCTCATGAACAATTTACTCATATTGTGCGTTCTATTCATTTGAAATTACTCCCATCTCACTATTAGAAGAAATTAATCCCGTAGTATTTGTAATTATAAATTAAATTTGAATTGACTTTGGATTGAATGTAGTTTAGTTAGACTTATTATTTGCTCTAATTCAAGTTATGTTTGATTTGAGTTATATGGAATATAAGTTATTTTAGAAATGATCAAATTATATCCGATCATAATTTTTATTTGCATTTTCTTATGCTAATACATCAATTATAAAAATTTCACTTTTATTTGCATTTTCTTATGCTAATATATCATTATAGTATTTTTTTTTTTTTAAAATTTCATATTCAAAAAGTTCACGTGATATGAATTTATTGACATCTCATTTGTTATTTTTTTTAATTTTTATTTACATATAGGTTCAAAGTTTAATCAAATTAAGAAATAAGTACAAATCAAATCAGACTTTAAACACAGTCTTATGCTTTATCATCCCCATTGTAAGTAAATAAATCCTAGAAAATGTTAGTTTTATTGTGGTTGGAAAATGACTTGTTTGACATGTTAAAATTAAAATCATTTATCTCTTCGTCTTTGGATTATCAGGAAGGTAATATACAAGTACATAAATTAATCAATTAGTTCCTTAAACTTTCTAAAGTTATTATTTTTAGATTTCCTAGTGAAAAAAAGTCTTCAAAAAGGGGGCTTACAAGCTTAAGAAACAAGGTCATTTACCTATTTTGTGCTAAATTACATAAAGGTTTTACAAGAAGTTGAACATGGTGCGATTGTCCTCCCATTGTCATCAATTTCATAAGTTACGAATCCTCTTTTCCTTAGAAGAAATATTTTTTGGTTTGAGAAATTAATTTCTCAGTTTGGGAGAAATATGAATAAAAAAAAAAAAGTGGTGCCCAATCTATCTTTATCTCATAACTAGAGAAATCAAGAAAAAGAAAAAGGAAGTGAATTCCCTATTTAGCTTTGTTTGGGGAAGCATAAAGAAAGAAAGAAATAACAAGTCCAAAAACAATCTACATATTATAGACTCAACCAATAATTTGTGATCTTGAAACGATAATACAACTTAATAAAAGAAATAGATTAGAAAATAATGAACAATTGTAAAAAAGGGCATAAAAAAATGATAACCATATGAACTATACAAAGTACTGTACGTGATAGTTGATACTAACCCTACATGGACAAGGACTAACAATGAATTAGTGAACATCCTAAATATCATTGTGCACACACTTCTTTATAATTGTCTTATTTCTACAAAGATAGCATGACACTTGTTTAACCATAAGTTGTTGATTATCTCATCAACATACATCATGAATCCTTATTCCTTTTCCCAAATTTTTAATTTTTTTTTTTTGAAAACTTTTTAAATTTCTAGTTAACCTAATTTTGTAATTTGTCATACTTTTGTACAAAATACAAAGTATTTTCAAACTTTTCATAGAAAAAGGGTCTTTTGTGAACCCAAAAAAAAAAAAAAAAAAAAAGAAGAAAAAAAAAGAAAAAAAAGCACATTTAAATATAAAACCCTTTTTTGTCGTTCAGCTTTCTAGAATTCCACCGTCCCAGTTTGCAGCAATTACACTTTTCAAATTCAAGGTTCATCTCAAAACTTAATCTGCACCCATTTTTCAGAATCATACTTTCTCGTGAATTTACATATTCAAATTATTTTATAGTTTTTCTATGCTTAAATTATCTATTAATTTCCTTTCTTTTTCCTTACTTTTTTATTTTGTAGGAGAAGTAAATACAGCGAAAATGAATTATTCTTGCTGCCCCATTTGTGAAAACCCGATACCCATTAACGAAATTGAATGGTATGATTTATTGCTGATTTTATTTGTGTAGTAATCTTTCTTTCTGGATTCAGTTGTCTTATTGTTAGTTTAAATTACACTATCAACGTGACTATTAATTTCGGATAAAGGGAGTATATTTCTTCCGTATTCGAATATTGTTTGGTAGACTTTGATTTTGTGGGTGTTACATTTAGTGAAATTTGAAGTGAGAATGAATATGGTGCAGGCATGTGAACAATCACTTGGAGGATGATGAATTTGCCAAGGATATGGAATTAGCTCAGCAAATTGCACTTGCTCCACCAAGTCCACCTCAAATTGTGGGTACTTCTGTACTTTTGAATCAATTGGGTTGTTTTATTTGCTATCTATGTTGTTTTGATTCATGAAATTTATTAGAGCAGCCGAAAATGGAGTTGATTATGTTGGGTAATGCATGGATTTGACAGGCATGATTGCTTTTATGAGCTTGGTTTTTATGATATGTTAGGAGGGGGTGTGCATTTATAAATGTACTAGATATTTCCCGAGCCATGCTCAGTTTTAAAAAATTGTTATTTGAAATTCAAATGTAGATATCTAGAAAAATGTAACTCAAAAGTTAATTTTAACAATAAATTATCAAATAATAGAGTTCTTAAGCAAATTTATAATTTTACAAAAATAATATATATAAAGTAGAGTTTAGGAGGGAAAATTCCCTCTAAAAAGACTCTATTTTAGTATAGGTATATATATATATATATATATGCTGATATGCATGAGTGTGTTATAAGGAGAAAGTATTATCAAATATAAAAATGCCAAATAAATTTACTCGAAGATAAAAATAGTAATAGAGTAGTATGTATACACACTTATCCAAAGTAAAAAAATAGTCAAAGAATTAAAAACATATGTAATGTAAAAAATAAATAATAATTATGATGCTATTATTTTTATTTAGGCCGGAAAATTTTTCATGAGAGGGTGACATCTGTGCATTTGAGGTTAGTGATGATGTCAACGGTTGTTGTTTTAGTATTATTTATATAGATTGTGCCGAAACTTTGTTGCTTAAATAATTATCAGAATGCTTAGTGATACAAGCCTCTTAGGTCGTGTTTTCTCTTTAGTTGGGTTGAAAATGTCGATTGTTTTATGTACCTACAATAATATCACATACCTAGGGTTGGCCTCTGATAAAATTTCAGTTTTCTTGATATAGCCTGACTTGAGTTGAAACACACTAAGTGACTCGAAAAATGCACAGGACTGTAGGTCTGTAAGAGTAAAAGATGGAGTAAATTAGAGTTATGGTTTAAAAACAACGAGGATATGCTTGCGTGGACTTAGTTAATGTAGTTATTTTGAAATTGGATGAACTCTTATGATTATCGTAATTCCCTACGCTGTCGAAGGTTAAAATTTCCATTGTCACCTTTCCCGCCCCTCAAAGAAAAAGAAGAAAAGGTGGCAGGTATTAATCTCACGAACTTATATAAGATTCCTTCTGAATGTGCTGTCTTAATTGTGTTAATACTTATTATGTGTGCATAATATGTGTCTGCGAGACGATACTTATTTTAGATGGATTTGCAGGATAGAAGCTTCTGTTTGGATTTTGATCCCGAGTCAGTATTTGAAGAGGTTCCAGAGAGTAGTACATCCAGGGATCTAAAAAGTGGAAGTAGAAAGAATGAACCAAAAGATATCGATGAACAGATTTGCTGTATTATAAGCTTACAGAGTAAGGCAATCTTTTATAAGGTTGAATCAGGACTAATGACCTTACTAAAAAATTGCTTGGAACTTGAAAACTCTACAAGTATACTCTCAGGTTATGTTGATCATTTTCAAAGCACTAGATCAGAGGATATGGGATGGGGTTGTGGATGGCGCAATATACAAATGGTTAGCTCGCACTTACTTATGGAAAGACCAGAAGCAAGAAAGGTTTTATTTGGAGGTTCAGAATATGTGCCAGAAATCGGTTCACTTCAAAGATGGCTTGAAGTTGCCTGGCAGAGGGGTTTTGACATTGTTGGCTCAAAATTTTTCAAGGGGGAAATTTATGGATCAAAGAAATGGATTGGGACAACAGAGTGTGCGGCACTCTTATGTTTTTTTGGTCTTCGTGCGAAGATAGTTGATTTTGATGGCAAGGGTAATAAGAGGGATGTAGGGCGAGTTGATAAACCTATGGATAGATTTGTTGCCAGAAGGGACATTGACGCTAAGGAAGGTCCTGCTAAGTTTGGTGATGGCTCTACACAGAATAGTAAGGGCTATCAAGCTTTGATTGATTGGGTTTGGAGTTACTTTTCTGAACAAAAGCCAAAGGAATCGCAAAGACGTGGGGTTGTTGTTACGAATAAAATGTAAGTGTCTAGTTTGACTACTCTGATAAGTAAGTTATGGAATCATCAAGTCTTCAGTCTATATCTGCCATCTATCTCTGCTCTTTTTTTTCTTTTTTTTCTTTTTCTTTATTATCCATATCTTCGATTAATTTGTGTGCTACTTTGAATAGGCCGTTATATTTTCAGCATCAGGGCCATTCAAGGACCATTATTGGGATTCAAGCCAAGCATCAAAAGAATGGGCAGCAACAGTACAACTTATTGGTATTAGATCCTGCTCATGTAAGTATATTCCTTAGTTTTTAAGCTTGCTTAATCTTTTTGTCTGCATTTAGTGGCCAGTTAACAACCCATAATTGTTTAGATGGTTTGATTGCACTATCTTTCCTCTTCACAAGCCCTGAACATGGACTTTATCTCATACTCAATATTTTGAACCTAATTCTAAAGCACAATGGGTAGTCAATGGAACTCAGAATTTGTGAATCAGCATGCTTAAGTCTGCGTACTCTGAACACCAAACTCCATTCCAAAACATCCCCGTAAACCAAAATGAAAGTAACAATTTGCCTTAACTCTTGGTAGGCTGTCGCATCCATAACATCAAGCACTATCACAAGAACTTTACTCCATAGCTGGAATTTCCTACTACTTCATCAATGGGCCCAACTCTCACACCCTTCGCCGCAAGCCAAACACCTCTAAAAATAGAATCCACACTAATTTTAAGATTCTAAGGTATTGAAAGAGACAAAATTATTGTGCTTTAAACCAAGATTCTGAATTTTAGTCACCAAGAAATTTGCACTCATTTAAAAATTAAAACCAGCATACCACTGTTTTTAATAGGAACAATTGGCCGCAACAACACCAACTATTGTAAGGTGCGTGTAGTTGCACAACCTTTCAAGGGTGCGGTCTACATCACAAACTATGTAGTTAGGTGCACATAACAATATGAATAACACCCATGAACTAAGATTTCATGGGAAAAGTGGAATCTTCTTTATTTTATTATTGTTTAAATATATTTTAAACTTACTTGATTTCCCATTACGCATGACTAAGTTAGCCTTTACTTCTATTAAATATTTTCATTTAAACACTTCTTAACCTCCACCATTAAAGCAAATTCCTTCAAATCACTATAATTTTCTTTTGTTCGCTTCATCAATTGCTTTTTTTTTTTTAAATTTTTTTTTTATTATAAATATATCGATCTCATGTAATTGATTTAGTTACCTCTCCCTCTCCATTTAGTCAGATACTAAATTGATAAATAAAAGAAAATCATCCAAAAACCATTTCGTTCCTCTAAATTTTAGGATTAAAAGTCTATTTCTAATACCATGCAAGCCCACAAATGCTTCAAAATACTTAATTCTTCAAAAAAACAATTTCAGAATCAGAATTTATGATAGGCCAAATTATTTTTTTTGGTTTTCAATGGTGGAGGTTGAGAGAGATAGTAATTTAAAGGGAGAAAATTAAATATAGGAAGAGGAAACTAGGACAATCACGTGAGATGTTAAAAAAAGTAATCAAAGAAGCAAACGAAGAAAAATAATGGCAAAAACTATTTGAAATAATCCCTTTAATGATGGAGGTTGAAAAGTGATGTTTAAAGGAAAACAATCAATAATGGAAGAGAACACTACATAGTCAAGTGAGATGGAAAACCAAGTAGGATAAAATTAAATAAAAATATATTAAATTATATATAAAAAGCATTAAAAATATTGAACGAAAATTCCACTTTTCGATGAAATTTGAGTTTTGTTAGTGACATTTATGCCGCTATTTGCACCCAAGTACATAGTTTGTGGTGTGGAGTGCACCATCGAAAGGTTGTGCTACTGCACGCAGCTTTGTCATAGTTGGTGCTGGTTTTGGCCAATTTTTCCTTTTTAATATAATAATAGTTTCATGCGCAACAATCTAGTGAACATAAAATTGTCATATGATTTACTGTTATGTTTTCAGACATGAAATTTGAAATAATTCGTCCAATTATAATTTAAGTGTGTTACTTTCAGAGACATGAAGATCACCACTCTACTTTTGAGAAGTAGACATAAACTTGCTGCACTGGTTGCCAATAAACTATCTTGTTCCAAGTCTCAATGCACACAACCTCCAATTTTTCCGTCTTCAATTTCTAAAAGGTTGAAATGATCAATAAGCCAAAATTTTCACTTTCGAATTTGTTATCCTCAGGAAGAGTAATGCTGAAAATTTTACACTAAAATGCGAAGGTTTTGATAAAATTGTTACTCCCTCCTTCTTAAAGTAATTGTCACACTTTTTATTTCTGTCCATTCCGATCTTCATGTCTAATTCGGTTATTAGAAGATAGGTTAGCATTAAAAATCATATTTGCAAAATCATATCTTTACAAGCTAGGATTAGTTTTCCTAGTTGTATTATGTTTTGATCTACATGATTTAGGCTAATTATTTAGCTTATAAAACATTCTTATGAGTTGATAAAAATCAATTTTGTTGCTTTGAAATTTATAAAGTTACATAGGCTTGTGCTTGTTTATTTTTGGCGTTGTCAAGGATTAAGTTCGTGTTGCTTAGTGTTTCTTGACCAAAACTCAAGAACCCAATCCTTTCAACCAAGTTTTCTTATGGATTGGACTAGATGAGGGTAACTTCATGCATGTGCTGGTTGGGGATTGGCTGTACTTCCAAGTATGTTTGGGATTTATGAGTCTCTCTTGCTGTGGAAGTTCAATCTATTACTTTCTAGACTTAATCTTTGCTATTTCGTTTCCTCACCTTGCAAAATTCTTGTCTTCGCTGTCTTCATTTTCTGCGTATTTCATGGCATATGCATAACTGCACAACTGGTCTTTTCCATTGCTTGTTTGACTTTGTGGTGGTTTAATAGATTAAAATCTGAAATCTCTCTTCTTCCTTATCTTGAAGGTTTCATCTCTACTAATCCAAGTGCTGTTATGGATTCAGATCACTACTAATGTGCTTACACAAACGTTATGGATTCTGATTACTACTAATTTGCTCACACCAAACAACAGGAAAATCAAGAGAAAAGATTGATTATTTGATTGCAAAGATTATAGCTTTTTACTGACTTGTAGCTTTAGGCTACCACTCTTCAAGTTAGTGATTGGTGGTAGTGACTTTAGGTCACACAATTCTCCTAAAACTCTTATCCCTACTACCTGCTTAATCCTTTATTTATGTACATGGTTTCAATCTCTAGGATGATTCTAGATTGGGCTTTTGTCTCATGTGATTAGGTGGCATCTCTCTCTCTATTTATACTAAAACTGATGACTATTAATATAATAATATTAGACTACCCCCATAATGTCCCTCTACTTAGATCTGTTCATTACAAGTGCTTGTTTTATGGATGACACAATTTTAAAATGCACCATACTTTGTTCGAATTCACTTTTAAGACACTGGAGTTTACAAGATACAGCTGCATTATGAAGTGAAAAAATATGAAAGACCTGTAATCTTTTCCTTACTATTTTTCTTATTAACCACACTTAATTGATTTGTTCTGTGCGTTATAAGTTGAAATTTTTTCATCAGCTTCCTAGATCTGCTTAAGGACATTATTTACCTTGTGATGTTTATTGTAACAAAATGCACTATTTTTTTGCAGAATACAGAAGCTCTGGAGAGGTCGTTGAAGGAAAATTGTGGATGGCAAAAATTTCTGAAAAGAGGTCTTCATACTTTGAGGAAGCCTCAGTATCAGGTATAAGCAAATCAAGTGCTTCTTTATTTGAGTTATCCATTTGATGATTTGATCTATCTTTTGATGTAATTCTATTTCTCTAGCTGTGCTATGTTGATCCTGGAATTGCACGGGGGGAGGAGATTGAGAAGCTGAAGGATTTGACTAGTGTTCTGATTGAATGCTAGATGGAATCATGATCTGTGTGCCTCTTACAGGTTTCTGCCTTGTCCCCCCTTCTTGTCTGCCTTCATATGTTGTCAACATGCTTTCTTCCACTTGCAGCTGGATTTAGTTCCGACAAAGGTTTGAGGACCTTTCAGCAATTGGGAATGCTGATAAAATAACTTTTACTCTGTCTCTTTTCTGCGCATCTTGAAAGCTTTCAAGTGATTTATCAGTATTTGTTCAGTTCAAAAATATATTCTTAAGGCAATGAAGATTTTGATAAGATTGAGTGCGGTGGCCTTGTCTCCTAATGTTTGAATCATGTATTAGAGAGGTGTAGTGTCTTATCCTCTTCTCATTCTCTATTATGAAGTAGCTTCTGCTTTATGGTGTAGACCTCCTGGTTTTTGTGCTGTGTGTATTTGATGGGTTATATACAGGCAAGTTGGATTAGTTCAAGAGGAGAATGCAATAAAGTTGCATTGGAGGTGTGAATTTATGACTGTTATTGGGGCTCTTTGGGCTTGGATTTATGGTATCAGCGTTGGGTTAAATCGAGAGAGAGATAGGATAGGAAATAAGCCAAGGCAAGCCATCTTCTATTTTATGAGTGAAAAAATGAAGGAAAAGCCATCATGGCAATAATGGTTGAAAAAAAAAGGACGTGATGATTATGAGAATTATGGTGAAGAGAAGTGCCTCACAAATTCCAAAAAAAAAATGTTGTAGATATGTGCAACAAGTGTAGTTGTGCGGAGAGAAGTTTTCCAAAAGTATGACATTGGTGATGTGCACCAGCAAGATTGTGTGGGTGATGAGATGTGCATCACAAAATGATGTAAAATTTGATAAGAAATATGTCAAAATATTGAAAGAAAGAAGATTGTGTTGTTGTCACAACAATAGCAATTTCCATCGAGATCAATCAATCATTGTAACCCAATTTGAAGCAAGGGGGTGTGTTGGAATGTTTGCTCAAAATTGTTAGTGGTTAGTTAAATTCTAATGTATGTATAGGAACATGCTCCTAAGTGATTAGTTTGTGTTTGTGGAGCCGTAAGAGTAGTGGGTTAATTTTAGGCATGATCTTAATCATGGGATCATGCTCCTTCCAAGCTTAGTTTTGCACTATGTATGTGTTGCTATGTAATTCGTTTTTCAATGGATTGAATAAAAGTTTATAATATTCTCTCCCTTCTCTCATCTGTATTATAATGTTAACAGGGCTATTGAACTTATCTTCCATAATAAATTTAATGGGGCCTAAGAGTTGATGTTTACTGTAGAGTCTTTGCTTCTTTCTGTTCTGTGGCATCTGGTGTCTTCCAGCATGGTTCAGCTTGATTGACATGCTTTCCTTTTTTTTTTTTTTTTTTTTTTTTAAGAAAAAAACTTATTTTGTGTGTGTGTGGGCAAGGAAGGAAAGCCACATAACTGATTACAATTTTACCATGTATTGCATTTCAGCTGCAGAATAAAGCTTGCTAAACAAATTTTATACACACATAAATTTTTATAAAGTTTATAATCCAAACTGGGAAAGAGTTGATCAAATATTATGGAAACAGTATAATCTGTTGCTGTTGTGCTAAGAAGGGTCAAACTGTTGATTTGCTAGAGTTTGTCGTGTACTCTGGAAGTATCTAACAAGCCTCAATTTTGATGCAAGGAATGTTTCGAATGATGTCGTTGTCCTTTGCTTCTGCTGTATTTTCATCTTTGATTTCATGTAGCCTGCTGTTAAATGACTTTGGCATATCCAGAATCTCCAGTTCTTGCAGGTTGATGTACCTTAGCTCTTCCGGGAGCGCTAACAACTTCTGACAACTAAATATTGATAGTCTCCTCAGATGTGGCATTGCACCTGCTTCAATTCTCCATTGCACCAAGTTTGGCAGGTGTGAGATTTGAAGCTCCTCGAGTTTCAGGAACATATTTGAACCACAATTCCATTGAATCCCCTTGTAGGCATTCCATAGACAGAATTTTTAAAAGAGGAAGGTGCCCCAGCTTTTCTGTTGGATCATATTTTTCGAGATGAGAGAAATACAGTTCCAAACTTGACTAGTGATGGTAAGAGTGTGAAGTTATATTCCTCTTTCAGTCTTCCAATAAATGCAAGTTTGTGTAGGTTTTAACAGTTTATGAGGTTTTCTGGAAAAAGCAGCTTACGTTGTCTTGCCCCATGCCAATCCAATTTCAGTACCTGAAGCTGTTTGGGCTCTCGGTTCAGCCAATTCACCACTGACTCTAACTCTTTAGTGCATGAAATGTTTACTATCCTCAGATTTAAGAGAGACGCATTTATTTTACCCAAATCATCTGTTAGCCAATCACCGCCGCTGACACCCCATAATATCTGCAAGTCCTGTAGAGTGCTGAGATCTAGTTTCCCCATAGATGAAATTGCATACGCTGGTAGATATACATGTCGAAGTCTAGTCATATAACACAGAACTTTGGACAGTTGTTTACAAAAACTAGGCTTTAAAGTGCCAACGTAATCCAGGGTTATCAATTGTCGTAAGTTCCTAATGGTCTTAGGAAGTTCTAATACCCCAGTGGCCCTTAATCCTAGGTAGGTCAGGAATATCAGTTCTCCAACTTGTTCTGGTAGAGCTCTTATTCTGATCCCACAAAGAATCAGTACTCTGAGGAAGCTTGAAATGCTTGTGTATTGGCTTCTAGCTAGTCAACAAGGTATCATGCTGAAAATAATAATGCTTCACTGATAATCCATGTTTCCCAAATTGAACTAAAGTTCTAAGTTTCAAACTCTGTATTGGATATGTATCGAATTTCCTGCAAAATAATAAGTTGTTGACTGATAATTTGCTCTCATGATGTTAACAATGCAATAAAAATATCTCAGATGATTTTTGACTGATAAGTGGTCATGCTAAGTCCTTATCCGCAGAAGAATATGAAATGACATGTGATTTGTTGTTTAATCATGTAGGGGGAAGATGAAGATCAAAGTATTATTGGAAGTTTTAGGAGGAGCATAGCTGTATGTCAATGGTAAATGGCTAATGATTAGCCTGATATTGCATCTTTAATTAGCTCTTGTCAGTTTAGGTTCAAAAGAAAATAAAATGTCCAGAGCAACAGAATATGGAGAATAGAGAAAAACTTTTTCTTAAATGTTTTGTGCTATATGTGAGTGGCTAGCTGTGAAGGATCTTATTCACCTATTTGGAATATCAAATAATTGCAGGAATACTATACACAGAGCAAATCTTTTCTTAAGTGTTTTGTGCTCTATATGAGTGGCTAACATTTAATAAATTATTCATCTACTTAGCAATATCAATAAGTTATAGGAATAGTACTCCCTCTCGCCTCCATCAATGTAAGAGTGGCTAAATTAGGTGTACGCAAATAATTGGGTGATGACCGAACATGGCTGAATTGACAAAATGATCTTTCTTTAGTGTTCATTTGATTGAAAATATAGAATTACATAGATAGTTCAACTTCCTAAGATGTACTCCAACTGTTTGTTAGTGAAAAACACTGGAACTAGTCCTCCTTGTGTTTGTTAGGGAATGTGGAATAGCTTATATTTGATGCTAGATGAAAATAAATAAATTAATGGGAACATAGGAAGATATTGCACTGAAATATCTGAAAGTACATAATGCAATGCTGGAAACTTCTATAAAACAAATAGGTTGTCCAGGTATTGAAAGATGCTGTTTTGGAAACACTTGAATTTTTTTTATACTTTATCCATATATACCATCCCATTAGATTGTATACGTTGACTTGTACAAATAATTAGGAGTGTTTCTAATTTTGCTTTTCACAAGTAAAGATAGCCTTATGTAAAGTCTTACCCTGAAGGGTCAACTTGGATATCCAAAAGTAAATTGTAGGACAGTCATACTGGCCGAGTGAGATTTTATTTTTTGTGTATCAATCAATCAAAGCCTTAATCCCATAAGTGGATAAGAAGAAAAAAAAAAATTATGTTAAAAGTGTACAAGTAATAGTGAGAGTGATTTTGAGGTCTTTGTCATACATTTAGGGCTGAACTTGAAAAATTTGTTTAAAAATAAGCAATTCATACCCGGGACGTATTGCGGTTCGTCGTAGATGCATTTCTCTGATTTGAGGAACATCACTCCTGGAATGGGCTGCAGGCTGAAGCAAAGGCTTGTCTTGTGCGTGGGGATAATTTTCAAGAAATCCTAACTCTGTTGATTTTGTGATGGAAACTTGATGAATCTTGTCGTGCATATGGATGGTTTTCATATCTCCAACATGGTTTCTCCTCACGACTTGAATGAGGCACCTGCAAGCTAATTCCTCTAGGTACTGTGCTGCCACATTTTCCAAAGTCTTCTGTGTACTAGATGGAGAATTTAATGCTACTAGACCTTCAGATAGCCACATCCTAATCAGCATTCCAGTTGAAATCTCAGAGTCGGGTGGGAAGAGGCTGAGGTAAAGGAAGCATGGCATTATGTCATTTGGAAGATCATGATAACTTAACAGTAGTATGTTCTCTAGCGCCTGATCAGACCGTGTTTCTTCTGAATTTAAGGAAGTACTCACCGTTTCCCATTCTTCAACAGTTTCTTTGGTGCTTAAAAGCCCTCCGAATGCAACTATAGCCAAAGGTATGCCTTTACAATGATCTAGCATTTTATCTCTTTTGATAATTTCTCCATTTGTTTTTCTATTGAATTGATCAATTATCTGATCCATGCTTGGTCTACTTTTTGCATGATTGAAAGCTATGCTGCAAAGTAAATCTCAACTTTCCTTTTCAGGTAGAGGTTGCATCTCATACAAGGCGTATTTTAAATTTGAGTGCTGAAAGGTTCGAGGATTACCAACAGTGATTATTATCTTACTTGGGAGGAAGATTTTCTTTTTGCGAGCTTTGGTACTCTGAGCTGCAAGCAAGTCACATACCAAGTCTTCGCCCATGCCATCTAGAACAAGCAGGTACTTTTTTTCCTCTAGCGCACCGAGTAATACATCTACCAGTTTCTCTTTGTTAGATTCTTGTATGCTGGGATTGTTTCCAGTCGTTTGTTTAATGATCAGACGCAAAGCATCTTCAGCATCCAACCCCCTGGGTATAGGGATCCATTTTTTTTTTGTCCTCAAAATGTTGTTTGACAATTGAATGATTATACAGCTCTCTGGCTAGGTCTTTGTTGCTTCCAGAACCATCCAAATCTCTGATGGAAAACGAACTTGGCTGTTCCCCTTCCCCTGTTAATCTCCTTACTAGATGATCATAATCCAGGAAGTCCTCTGTAGTTATAAGGTCTTCATTTTGTTGAAGCTCTGTTGGAAGGTTGTTGGTGATGATTATTATCTTGTTTCTATGTTTTGTTTCATCAAGTATAGAATGCAAACGATGTGCTAGACTTTCCGCCTTTTGTACTTGGTCAAGTACAATTAGGTTAGGCGGTTTCGCTAGGAACTCCCTAAGCTTTTCACTCAATTGGTCTACGTTTAGACTTTCGTTTCTATCCCTTGTATTTGTCATCACTTTTTCTTCGACTTCTTGTAAGATAGCAAGAAGAATGCTTCTGTCATCCCATTCATCCTCTATGGTTACCCATTTCCTTGCAGTAAAGTGTAATTTAACTCTCGCATCATCAAAATGTTCATCGCGGATCAAGACAGCGGCATAATTTGCAAGCCTGTAAAAGATACTTGATTCATGGACCATTTTGGCAGTCAACTTTTCAGCCAGAGAATATTCATCCTCAGATGATCTAACAGTATACTCCCCGTGCTTGTAGGGATTACTGAGAGCAGCACGAGTTGTAATTACTAATTTGCTTTTACCATGCAAGCCTTGGATCATGAAACAAATGGGTGGAGAGATTATCTGGATCTTCCACATCATCTAGAATGATAAGATATGGCCTCTCTTTTAGGGTATTGCATATCTTATTCATCAACTCCTTTGTGATCATGTTGCTTTCTGCATCTTCATCCTTCCCTTGGGTTTTTCTCAAGATTTCGAGAAAGATGTTTTTAGCATCCTTCTTTTCTGATACTGATGCCCACACCACAGATTTGAAGTGTTCTTTGATATCTCGATGGTTGCTGATCTCTGTGGCTAGGGTGGTTTTTCCAGAACCTACTGTACCCACAATGTAGAGGATGCTTTCTGTGTTTCCACTCCAAATTATTTTCTCTACCAGAGAATTGATCACTTTCTGTAAGCCAACTATCTTGTGGGGATAGCTGGTAGTTGATGTAATCTTTCTCAACCTTTGGTCGGTTGGTTTCTCTTTTGGTTCTGAAACATGGAATTTCTCTATATCTTCTTTTGCCTTGTGCAATTTCTTTGTTATGCCTTCTATTTTCTGGATTTGTTGAGGGGCTATTTGAAAAGATGGTCGGCAGACATACTTTTTTAAAAAGCCATATCTTCCACTACGTTCGTTTGCAACCTTGTTGACAATATCATCAATCACATCTTCAGATTCATGAGCCATTTGCACGAGAAACCTGTGTATGTAAACCATTTAGATATTACAATTTCCTTGACTCTGATGAGTGTTATTTCAAGCTCAGTTTTTGTAGACATACCTTCTGAGAAAGCTACAACCTACTCTGCTTTCAGATGTCACCTTGTAGATGAATTTTTCGACTTTGTTCTCAAATCGGGTAGCTGTTTTTGTGAGTAGTCTGTTTTCATCTGCATGGTCAAGGTAGCATGTAAGATTATCGATTGATGACAGCAACTCTTCAAACTTATCCTTAACAGACTCTGATATTTCCGATTTCTGATTAAGTAATGAGTGAATGCGCCTAACAACTGTAACAGTGGGCTCTGACATTTGGATTCTCTCTATTTTGATAGCAGATGTTATTATGCAGCCCTAGGATCTATAGTTTTCGTTCCCCATCTATGGCTGTCACAAGCCCAGGAAGAAGGGATATCTGGTACTCTCTTTGTCCTATGTCTCAAGCAAAGGTAAGTAAGTTTCCTCTGCTTTGCAATATGCTATCTTTACTTTGCGTAGAGACTTTAGACATGTACTGTCTGAATAGGAAAAGCCAAAAGCAAAGGGAAGGCATAAAGTCATAAATTTCCTTATGATAGAAGAATTGATAACTATGACTTGCTTTTTTAGACACTATATGGATATGTTTTTGCTTCTTTTTTAGACTGTTTTAGTTCAAGGAATATCCTTTAGCAAGAATGCTGTGCTCTCCCCAAAAAAAAAAAGGAAAAATTGATTTAGATATAAATTAAAATAATTCAAGTTCAAGAAAATGTGGAAGCAAGTAACTGTTCGACATTTAGATAGGATATTGTATACTGTAAAGCTTTGTTCAGATCAACTTATTTTGAATGAATTTATATTATTAGACTTTATTCATTATAGTAGACTTTATTTTTCATGTAGCAGAATTATGGTGTGTTCTATTCACCTGATTTATACTTATCTGATCTTATCTGAATGTACCTGAACTTATTAGACTTTATTAAAACTTATTTTAGTTGTAATTTGAACATGGTCAACCCTTATCAGAACTTATTTTTCCTAAACTTAATTTATCTGAACTTATTAGACCTGAAATAAGTGAAAATAAGATGAACAGAATAGACCCTTAATATGTGAGTATGTCAGAACTTATTTCACTTAAGCATAACTTTTTTTTTTTTTTTTTTTTTTTTGAATTTATATACGCTTGTATGAAATTGTTTGTGAACAAATAAATTGAAAAAATAGACCCTAGAATTAAAGTTTTATTGACATCATATGAGTACAGAAGTATTATTTGGTTGATTATTGGAGTAAATAGAAAAGTTCTCCGTTTGTGTAATTGGAATATTATAATAGGTCAAGTAATTGTCCAACCCTTGAAGTTTTCTCTTTTAGGTGCTTTAATTTAATGAAAAAAGAAAGAAAAAAAATCTGTTGTAAAAACCAATTGCACCTACATCATGTGACAACGAAATATATAATGTTTTCTTCTGACCTAAACTTATCAGGTTCTAAATGGATTTAATGAAACTGTTTACCTTCTACAAATGCTCCTTCTGCACTATAAAATCCCTCCTCACTCTCAAGTCTTTCTAATGTCATAATATATACAGTACATTCCTTGGTCCTAGATCCCGAATGCACTTCCTCTAATCCCTAATACTTACTAGTAAGTCGAATGATTTTGGCAGATTCTTTGAAAGTGTATTTCCTTTACTTATCATGAATTCAATTCGTACCAATCTAAGTAGTATCATTTGTTTTTGTCATTTATATCAAATTTCACTTACCAAATTTTACGGAATGCAAAAATGTCAAAAAAAAAAAAAAATAACTCGAATATTAATTTCGTTCTTTAATAATTGCAATGTCGATACATATACTTTAATATAAACTCTTAATGATTATTAAGTTTTTCAAAACAACGAAGACACTATTATTTTTCCGTATTATTCGAGCTTGTTTGTGAGAAATCGTTTGGATATGTTAAGTTTCAAAGAATTTATATCTTTTTTTTTCACTTAGTAAGTTTTTTTGTATGATGAGCAAAACTTATCTCTAATCCTATAAATTGATCATTGATATAAACATCCTTAATATAGTAGGACGTAATTAGATGATTCCAAATCAATACCAATGACAAGATCAAAATCATGTTTTAAACCAACAAAAATATCAAAATCTATATCTCCATCAATCCAATATACTCTGTACTTCAAATAAGCTAAGTTTACTACTTTCCATTGTCAAATAAGAAAAGTAAAAACATTTTCTTTGCCATTAGATGATTTGTTGATTATTAGTCCATTTTCTTTGCCATTAGACATTTTTTTTTTCTTCCCTCGTTCTTCTTAGATTTTTGGTTCTGTTCTTTTATAATTTAACTTGCCATGTCAAATCAATTTGTTGATTATTAGCCCATTTTCTTTGCTATTGAAGATTTTTTGTTCCCCTCAGTTTTCTTAGATTTTTGTTCTGTTCTTTGATAACTTAACTAGCCATGTTAAATCAATCAAATTCTCAATCTCATGTTAGCCTGTCAGGCTTGTCCAAGCTTGCTCACTCGGATAGACCCCTAACTATCTCTGACATCATGGACTTAGTGATACCTAAATTACTCGATGTCACTGCTTCCACATACATTTACTACAGTGAGACGCAATTGAGGCGGTTGAATAAATTCAGGATGGATTTGGAGCACATTAATGACCAATTCAAGAGGCTCAAGGCCTTGGAACTTCTTTCTGACAAGGTTTTTAAAGATCTCTTGCAACAGGTAGTGGACTCGGAAGCTGCTGTATCTAGACTATTTATTGATGATTCCAGGTACTGGCAGCTTGAAGAAAACCTTACAACGATCAAGAGGGGCATCTTGAAGATCTCTTCCACTACTTTTGGTCATCTTTACACTGGATTCAAAGATCCTAAGCCTTGGGGTCATGAACATGAAGAGGAGCACAGAAAATTGGCAAGTTATCCCTCTGGCCTGAACCCCTTTTTTGAGAATCCTGCTGTTTTTAGGCGGCTAACTCAAAGTTATGAACTGCTTGATCCTTTACTTAGGAAATGCTTACTGTGTTTCTCAGCATTCCCAGAGGGTGCTGAGATAAATAAGAGGACAATCATCTATTGGTGGATTGGAGAGCAGCTGGTTGATCCACCGACCGGTGATGATGGTGAGAAGAAGGGGCATGAAATATTGAGAATGCTAGTTGAGCATGGCTTTCTTGAGGAAGTTATTATAAAGGGTAGGGTGACAAGTTGATGCAGGCTTTGTCCTTCTATTTATCCGGTATTAATTTACCTTGCTCAGGCTGCTAGTTTTTTTTTTATCATCCCGATGACAGGGAATATAATGATGATAATCTGAGCTATGGAAACAAGCGTAGGGTATGTTTGGTAGAAACATCAAATTGAACCTCCCCTTCCTGCTTGAAGTACCTAAAAAGTAGCCGGACCAAAGATCTTAAGTGCATAGAAACACTGTTTAATGTAAACAAGTGCTACATGGATATAAAGCTCCACTGGTTCTGGAGGATGAAAAATGTGAAAGTTCTCTATCTGGGGAGGTGCGATTCAAAGTCCATCCAATACATTGAAGTTAAGTCCTGTAAATTCCTTGCAGGACTGACGCATATGAAGGGGTTGAGGCTTCTGAGTCTTCAGGGGGTTTCAAAGATCGTAAAACTCCCAGATTCAGTTGGTAGTGTTAAAAGTCTAAGAATTTTGGATCTTAGAGACTGCAATGACATTGAGGAACTGCTTGATTCTATCAAGTCGCTTGGGAAACTAACACACCTGGACTTGACAAGTTGTTACTCTCTTGCTTGCTTGCCCAAAGGAATATCCTCCCTCTTCGAGCTTCAAGTCTTGAAAGGATTTTTTTTCAGAGAGAAGCACCGAGATAAGAGAAGTTTATGCTCGTTTCAAGATCTAAAGAGGCTGAAGAAGTTGAGGAAATTGAACATCACCACCAGCCTTAAGAGTTTCCCAGAAGATAAACACCTTAAAGCTCTTGATGAGATGACTGAGCTTCGCAAACTGACAAACGAATGGCAAGGGTTGTTCAAGGGAGGAACTACCATGACCAACCATAACTCTGTTGGCAATTTCTTGGTGGGTCTGGAGAAACTTGACCTCCAACATATCCCTTACGAAAGTGCACCAGCATGGCTGGCACCTGAAAAGTTAAAAAATTTGAAAAAACTGTACATTAAAGGAGGTAAACTAGAAAGATTGGGTTATGATGAGAAGCAGCATCTAGGGTGGGAAGTAGAAACATTGCCATTGTTGCACTTGCCCGGACTGAGCATGACATGGACTGAACTACAGAGGTGTTTTCCGAATCTTAGGTACTTGGAACAAGTTAAATGCGATAAACTTATCTCCATCCCGTGTAATAGCGAGGGCGTTTGGCAAAAACTCCCATAGGAGATCCATCCATATTCTTTAGCGCACTGCTATGGGCTTCTACATAGTTGGCCATTGATTTTATTTTCCTACTCTGTTGGGGGCGACTGAGAGGGTGTGGGGGGTGTACAATGTAACAGTACTCTCTTTAGTTTAAAGAGTCGATAATAATCTGGGTTTCCTGGGCTTTTAGACTGTACTAAAACTGAGTAGCTTATCAAACTGTTTGCTCTTTTTATTTACAGTGAAATAACAAACAATTATTTTGTAAACATGTCAAATGTCAATTGAAAATAATCTCATTTGTCACAGGACACGGAAATTTGGAGTCTCTACAAATGCTGGACAAGCTGGTTAGTGAAGCTCAGGGAATAGATATCTTAAAAATTCCTTTATCTTTGTCTGAGCAACACGGTAAACTAGCCTAGATACTGCAAGATCGTCATCATGTATTAAGTCGAACTCACAACTTTGGAAGCAAATATGAAAAGCAAAAAGTCCCTTCCAGGGTATGCAACTTCATATTGAGGGCGATGACTGAATTTAGGTGCTGTAACATAATCTGGAATATAGTGGATGATTGTTGGTGGGATCTAGATGATTGAATAGCGAGTTGTTGGGAGGAAAAAGTTTGGCGGCAGGAAGTTCCTGCGCTCTGATGTTATGTCTTTTATACTGTATGGTATGTCGACAATGAATGAAACAAAGTAGCAGCAGATTGGACGTCAAAAAAAAGGATGACAGGGGTTCATCTTGGCATGAGGCTCCGCTGTGTTCTATGGAACATACAGAGAGTGGTTCCTGCACCGGCAAGGTTAGATGATTTTATAGTATAAACTAGGAAGATCCTGGGGTGGCTTAGCAACATGAATCAGCATGCAGTTGTGTCATACTTTCTTCGTCCACTTATTGAGGACTACATAAGATTTCCTACAAAAATTAGGAAAACTTGAGGTGCTTGTGGGAACTGGGCAGTCATGAATTAGCGGTAATGTGAAATTTTTAAGCAGGAAATTTTTGAGGTGGTTCATGGGCCAACATAAACCGGCTAGAGAAATACACACTGATCTTTATGTATTTACTTGTATATTATTTTTATTGATTTGTTTATTCGTCTTCAGCTTGGAAGAAGATGATGCCTTCAGTGTAGCAGAGATAGAGCTCAACTTCCTCTAGAGATAGGCCTTAGGATGTTATTTGATGATTATAAGTATGTGGATACATATGCGCTCAAGCAGAACATGAAGAAACTAATCTTCCAGGAACTCAAAAAGAAGTCCGAAAACATTGATGATCCGAAGATGGCCAAGTACCTCTGCCGTGTCCGTGGGGACTGGGTTCTCAGCTTCTAATTATAGAATGTCGAATTTGTTTATAGTTCTATAATCTTAATTCCAAACTTATCTCAGCTCAAAGCTTAGCTTAGCTCGCAATCACGTGACCTGAGTTTCCATAATTCTAGAAATGCTTTCCAGCTATGAAAATAAAAGAGTGAATTTCCAGTTAATAATTGAATTTTGACCGAGGTTAATTAACATGTATGTATATCATTAGTTCTAGCTACAAATACGTCAGTGATAGAACAATGTCTACTATAAGAGGGGGGGGGGGTGAATTGTAGACTATAGAAAATTTTGCGGAATTAAATTATCTACTAAGAGAGAAGACACTTCGAGATAGGCAATGAATACTTTCACTATGTAAAGATGATTTACTCTCGCTAATATTCTGCCTAGACCTAAGTTCCGTAAGGAACTCAAGTTACCCAACTGCGATCCCTCAATCACAGTTTCTCACTCTTTGTGATTCTACTCCGAATCACTTGTACAGTATGAAGAACTCTCTCAAGCCTCACACTTTACAACTTTCACTGCCCCAATCCCAATTACAAAGCAATTACAAGAATCTCCTAATGCACTCAAGAAGCTCAAGGATGGAAGAAACTCTACTCTGAAAATACTTAGAAACTTTATGCTCAAAAACTCAGATATTTTTCCACACTTTCAAAACTTAACATTGATCTGTTTTGATAAGGAGTTAAACCAAGCTTCCATCAAGTTCCCACTTCCCCCTTAATCCCACGTTCTCTTTGACTGAGAAGTTGGGATGTAGGCAGAGGAAATTTAGGAACATGATTTCCCTAGCTTGACTCCTAAATCAACGTGCTTCCTTAATTTAAGTAAACAGTTATTTTTACTAAGTCAAAAATCAGTTAAAGATTTATTAAAAAGATAATTATTTATTATTAAAAAAAGATAACTAAATAATTAATTAATTTAAAACTTATCATTTAAATTAATGAATTATTTTGATTTTATTTATTTATAAAATAAATATTTTTCAAAACTGATTTTATCACTTCCTTAAATTAAGGGTTTTGAAAACCGTTTTAAAATTTTCGTTTAAAACTTTCTGAGTCAATCATCAAGTTCCTTCAGGAACTTCGAGTTTCTTCTTAGTTCCTTCCAACACTTTTGTTTCTTAAGTTCGTACACTGAGTAACTAAGTATATAGAGTTGTGAGGACATCTTGAAAGCTTGCATTCATCATCAAGTCTTCCAAACTTTGTTGTTCCTACTCCGGAACATATTACTTCAAACCTGAATCTTCTGCTTAACCAAGACTCTTTAAACACCATTAGTCGGAGTTTGTTTTACATAAGTCAATCATCAAAATATAAGGTAGTCAATTCAACAATATTCCCCCTTTTTGATGATGACAAACAAAAACAAACTCGGTTAAAACAAAATAATCATCCAGGCAAAACCATTAAATGAGTAAACTAATTATATAAACAAAACAGTAAAATAAACTAAGTATTAAGAAGTCTGCATCATTCATGAAATTAATAAATTATGAAATTTATACCTTTGCTTAAACGATGAAGACTTGAAGAGGAATCAGTTTGAGTCCAGCTTTCTGAGTTTGTTCTTCTCTTCCCCCTTTTGACATTATCAAAATGATAGAAAGAGCATGCTATATATAGTACTAAACTACGGAGGGAGTAGTAAATCTGAATTCATGAACGATTAAGCATGCACACACAGTTCATATGCAACCAAAATGAGAATATCAAATTCAAAAACAAATCAAGCCAGTTGAGTTCAAACCGAACCAAAACAAAACGAAATGTGTAAAACAAACCAAACAACAAAAAAATTCAAAATAAACAAAAGAAAAACTAAACAAAAGAACATTGTTCATAAATCACAAGAAACAGTGGGGTAGATATGTTTGGCAAAGACTAGGAAATGGTAGTAGATTCATGGTAAGGGAACATCCTTAATCGCATCAAGAATGGTCTTGTAACAACTTTCCTTCACCTTAGCTTTGAGTTCCTGAGTTGAGGAGTCCATATGAGCGTTTACTTTATCTTCCAGAGAAAGCATCTGAGTTTGCAGCCCCTCAACTTTAGTAGCCAGGTTATCCATTTTAGAAGAAAGGTTAGTTATACTCTGTGTAAGTGTAGTGGACAAAAGCTTAAGTTCCTCCTGGATTTTCAAGGAACTTGGACCAGAGCTAAAAGCACTGAATCCGAAACCAGAAGTACAAGGCTGTGAAGCAGGTGGAGAATGTGTGGTGTGGTGAGCAGGGGATGGAATTGGAGGTGGTGATGGAGTTTCTTCTGGAACAGATGAGGAGGGATCCTGAGGAACTTGGGTGGAAGTTCATTCAGAAACTTTGGTTGAATCATCATCCAACTCAACAATAACAAGCTCAGATTGCAGGGTTCTGGGTTTAGATGTAGCAAGTCTGATACTTCTCCTTCTTCTGCCTGTTACAGGGGTGTGTTTGACAGAGCCCCCAATTTCCTGAAGCAACTCTTTCATTAATTCCTCTTGATCATCCTCTTCCTCCTTCTCACTCTCACTCTCTTTTGCTATTGTATCTTTCTCTTTTTATTTTTCTTCTGTTTCCTCTGATTTACCTTCTGTTTTCTCGCCTTTGCTACTCTTCTTTTCTACTGCCCCATCACTCTTGTCTTCTTCGACCTCTTTGTCACTATCTTTTTCTATTTCTTTCTCACTAATTTCTTCTGTATTTTTCTGACTATCTTCCTCTTTCTTTTCTCCTTCCCCCTCACTGTGTTCCCCCTCGGAATCACTTTGCACATCAGATGCAAAACAAACATTCACATTCACCACTTTTAAATTCAGCTTTAACAATGATTTTTCTTGAAGGATGTGTTCAGACTTGAGAATGTAATTCCCGGTTTGTGGCAAAGGAACTCTCAAATCCTGAAACACAACTGTCAAAAGGGAACCATAGGGTATGTGTAAGTCGGGAATGCAATGGTCCAGGTGGGCTATCATTAAGGCAGGAAAGTTAATGCTAACTTTCTTTGCTAGACAGAAGATGAGGGATGCATCTAACAGGGTTACAGTACTTCGTTTTTGGGAACGAGGAAGAATTCCTCTCCAAATGATGTTGAACAATAGTTTATGCAAAGGAGTTAAGGCATTGTGGTTAGTTGTAGTAACTTTCGGGTTTCCACCAATAAATGTGACAATTTCGGTTTCATTGTGGCCATCTACGGTGTTTTTGGATTTGTTTTTGACGTAGGTTCTATATCCAATATTTGGGGTTTTAAAAAATTTGGCCAAATAACCTGCATCAAACTCAATATTCACACCACCAACCGTAGCACTACATACACCATCAACGCAAACAAAAGAGGAGCAAAATTCATCCATTAACGTAGGATAAATTGGAAGCTTTGTACACAAATCCAACAAATATATCCAATTTTGATAATCCAACAACTCTAAAATTTCGGAAAACTTACAATCCGTGCACCATGAGTAATCAATTGCATAGCCAAGTAAGAATTTGTCGTTTCGGGTTTGCCAGGCTTTCTTCGAGGGTACTGCGGCGCGACGGGCCTTAGTTTTTTTTTGGTTTTTCCTTGGATTGAGTAGCCTTGCGTTTTGGAGCTTGAGAGGAGGAAGGGATTATCATAGTTGGAGGGACGGGTGTTGATGGTGAGTTCCGTCCGGATCTTCGTTCAAAGGGGTTGGAATTGATGTTGGTTTTCATGGTTGGGTGAATTTTGAGAAAATAGGAGAAGTGTATTAATGGAGGTTGGTGGGAACTTGAAGGTGAAGAGGGGTTTATGGGAAGTGACGGGTGATGATGTGACTTTTGAGGAGTGTTGGAAGTGACGGTTGATGATAGTTGAGGGTTAATGGGGGAAGTTGAAGGGTTTTGTTATTCATTTACAATGATTAAGATAAAATAAAAAATTAAAGATAAAGATAAAGATAAAAAATAAGATAAATCTAATTGAGAAAATAAAAAATCTTTTTGTTGTTTTGAAATTTATAAGATAAAATTAATAAAAAGATAAAAATAAAAATTGAAAGATAAAGAAAATTAAAAATTACGAAAGAAAAAAAATTTCAGTAAGTTACTTCAAAGTAAAATAATGGTTGACCTGTACAGAGCTTTTCAAAAAGGAACTTGGAAAATAATATGGCTTAATTTGTCTTCTTCATCAACATAATCACATGATCACACACTCATTAGAATTACACACTCTTTCATTGCAAGATTCGAGATTATGTTTTTCACACCAAGGTTATATATAGCAATGCTCAGTCGTTTCACTAAGACATACCTTGGGGTTCCAAGAAGAACTGCTCAATTCAGCTTTATCATTCAGAGTTCCAATCGCATTTTTTCGAATTTTTCTCTACTCAAAGGCTTTGTTAGAATGTCAGCAATTTGATATTCAGTTTGTACAAATTCTAATTTAATAGAGCCTTTTTCCACATTGTCTTTTAGAAAATGATGCCTAACATGAATATGCTTTACACGTGAATGATGTACTGGATCTTTTGAGATGCATATAGCACTAGTATTATCACAGTATATAGGAACACATTCTAAAATTATGCCAAAATCACGCAACTGTTGCTTTATCCATATTAATTGGGAGCAACATGCAGCAACAACTACATATTCTGCTTCAACAGTGGATAGAGCAACAGTGTTTTGTTTCTTGGAACTCCAAGAAACTGGACAAGAGCCTAAGAATTGAACCATACCTGACGTGCTCTTGCGATTTACTAAGTCTCCGGCATAATCTGCATCAGCAAATCCTTTGAGATCGAATGTATCACTTAGTGGGTAGAATAAACTTAAGTCAGCCGTTCCTTTAAGATATCTCAGTATTC